AAAATTTATTGATTATAAATTTTTTTTTTTATACGCAATAATTTTTTTTTTTAATTACATAATTAATTTATATATAAAATTTTGACCTTGCATAAATAAAAAAAATTCATCGTCGCAAGATAATTTTTAGTTGAACTGACCAATGACAAATCGAAATTATATTTATCATTAATATCATTATTATTATTATTATTACGTAAATTGACAAAAAAAATTTTTTTTTTTTTAGGTGACAATGACCCATCCCTAAAATAATTATCCTAATTTTTCTAACCAATTTTTATTTCTAAATAAATTTATCCTAAATTAATTTATATATAAATATATATATATATATTTGAAGGTTGATTAAAATTGATAAACTTTCCCTTATCAGTAACAAAAACAAAAACAAAAAACCTTTTACAAATTAACCTATAAATTTTTTAAAATGAAAATCCGGTTAAATTGGGTTAACGTTGGGTTTAACATATTTTTCAACCTTTTCTCTTTTTTTTTTTTTTCTTTTATTATTAATCTCTCTCTCTAAACATAAACATTAAATAATAATAATAATAATAATAAATGTTTTTTTTTTTTTTTAAATTTTCTACCATTTTAACTTTTCTGGATATTCTCCGGTTAAACATGCCGTACAATGACCGATTTGATCTTCTGGAGTTACAGGTGACATTCCATGTCTTACCGCTTTTATTAATCCCTCGACTGATAGGTATTCTAAACTGTCGGCTCCTGTTTTGACAAAAAAAAAAGTTTAGGGTTACCCTCTCCCCAAACAAATCCTTAAAAATTTTCTTTTGATTGGGACTTACCAACGTGTTTGGCTAACTTTGCCGCATTCATTTTATTCGCAATCAATTCTTCTCTCGTTGGTATGTTTATACCCATGTAACATGGATATTTAAGCGGTGGTGACGCTATACGAATGTGAACCTTGAAATGTTTTTTTATTTTTAAAATCGAAAAATCGAAAAACAGTTTTGAATCCATAAGTTAAAAAAAAATCTTTACCTCTACCGCACCGGCATCTTTTAATAATTTTATTATAGGTCCTATCGTCGTACCTCGAACGATGGAATCATCGACTAAAACGATTTTTTTACCCCGAACGTTTTCTGCAAGAGCACCAAATTTTTTAGCAACTCCAAGTTGTCTCAACCTGGTACTAGGCTGTATAAAAGTTCTACCGACGTAACGATTTTTACAAAGGACTTCTCCGAATGCTATACCGCTCTGGAAAAAAAAGAAATCAACAGTTATTTTTATGCTGGGGGGTGGGTGGATGGGGAGGAGGAAATAAATTCATTAAAAGTTTACCTCACGAGCAAAACCGTGTGCGGCAGCCGTTCCAGATTCAGGTACCGAACTTATTAAATCTGCATTAACGCGACTTTCTCTCGCCAACATTCTACCGCATTGTAATCGAACCGAATAAACCATTTGACCTATAAAAAAAAAAAAAAACCTGTTTGACACCCAAAACCCAAATGACAAATTTAAAAAAAAAACCTGTAGTGCGACAAAGACGACCGGTACCTTCGAAAATACTATCGGATCTGGCAAAATAAACATATTCGAAAATGCAAAAAGCTTGAGCTTTGTTTTCCGGTCTTTCGACAATGGCCAAAGAGCGAACTCCGTGTTTTGTCATTTCAATGATTTCACCCGGTAAAACTTCACGAACGTATCGAGCACCTATGGATAAAAATCCACAAGACTCGGATGAAATGACGTATCCGTCAGCCTCATCATCGACCCTGTTGCAATCAGCACAATTTCCATTCACTAAACAAAAAAAAAAAAAAATTTGGAAATTTTTTTTTTCGAGGAAAACTACTTGTCTTCCACTAGTCTCTCATCTTACACTTATCATCCCTGATGGGTACTATTCTCCCGATGCAAAGAGGTCGATTACCATAAGGATCTCTCACACCGTAAATTTTATCCTTGAGCATGATGACAAGAGAGTATGAAAGTGGTGCCAAAGCCATGAGATGTTTTATTCTCGCCACCCAATTCGGTCCACCCTTTTTATCTTCTTCTTCTTCTGGAGGATTTAAACAAAGTGCTTGAGTTATGAGTTCCGAATCGGAATGAGTCGATAGTCCGACTCCTCTTGCCAATACCTGAATACATAATTAAATAAAATCAAAATGAATTCGAAAAAAAAAACGTTAATTGTTTTGCAAGGGCCTTACATCTTCTCTCAATTGAGAACAATTGACCAATTCTCCATTATGTGCAACAGCCATTGCTCCGTGATTTGTATGAACGACAAAAGGTTGACAATTGACTTCTTCGCTTGCGGCACTTGTCGAATATCTCGTGTGTCCGATACCTAAATTTCCAGTTAGTTTTTTCATGGAATCATCGTTAAAAATGGAACTTATCATTCCCATTCCTTTAACGGTATTGAAATGTTTTGCACATTTTCCTTCGCTCGTCACGATACCAGCACTTTCTTGACCTCTGAAGGTTTTCGGTCACAATTATTAATAATAAAAAAGGTACAAAAACAATCATCTTTTCGAATTTCTACGTACCTGTGTTGGAGTGCGACTAAACCCAAACATATAACTTGTGCAACATCAATTTGTGATGGCCAATCTCCTGTTGCTATACAACCGAAAACACCACATTCGTGAGTTAATCCTGTTTCTTCGGTAAACATAATTTCATCCTTTTCATCTTTCACATTCAAATTTTTGCATTTTTCAATTAAATTTTGATTTAAATCCATTTTTAAAAACAATTATTTATTTATTTATTTATTTATTAACTACGAAAAAATTAATCGAAGATATTATTTAATTAAAAAAAAAAAAAAAATAACAATAATAATAATAATAATTTTTTTTTTTTAAATAAATTTTTAGCGGGTAAAAACAATTATGAAATTTATTATTATTATTATTAATAATTAATTTCACATTTTTTTTTTTTTTTTTTTTGAATGAAATGAGATAAAAATAATTCAGGGTCGTATTTAGTAAAAATTATATAAAAAATTTCCCCCCCCCCCCTCCATCATCCGTTTCCGATCCTTTTGTCCATTTTCTTATTTTTAAATGTCTTAAAACTCCAATTTCTCTTCCCCTCCCCCTTCCAAATCTATTAAAATCGTACCGTAAAAAAAAAAAAATTCCTTTTTCTAATTACGTCCCTGATGAGGTAAAATTTTTCATTTTTCCGAGATGTCAAAGTTCGTAGTAAAATTTTTTGACGCGCTAAAGTTTTTTTTTTTTTTTTTTTAAGGAAAATTACATTACAAAACTTATTATTTATTTATATTAACGCGTAATAATAATAATAATAATAATACGATTTTACAATAAACATTTTGATGATCCCCCAACCTCATCATTATTATTATTATTATAAATATTTTTATTAAAAATTTAAAAACAATTAATAATAACAAAATTTATTGATATAATTATTAATCAATAATAAAAACAATATTTATTTGTCATTTTTATTTATTGTTTTATTTGTTAGTCAAAAAACATATAAATGGGGGGTTAAAAGTCCACCACAAATAAAAAAGCCTATAAAAAAAAAAAAATGGTGAATTTATCTCAGTATTTTTCCGATCGATAAGGGTTACTTGGCGGGGGGAGGGGAGAGGGGGGGGTAATATTTAGCTTTTTTTTTACACGTTTCCCAAAAATCCCCAAAAAAAAGAGAAAAAGGGATTAATAATTATTTAATTTTTCAGCAAAAGGGAGGGCTCTGGGGCACATTCCAAATACTCCATTATCTCTCATTACTTTTAAATAATGACTGCATGGCACATTTCAAGATGGTTTCATATGTTTTAATTAATGGTTAGAAACCTTCAGTGCAACATGGGTACCTAGCAACACACCAGAAGGGGTCGCCAAAGTCCTATTTCGAACGTACCAAGCCCTCCCGGCTTCGAAAACCGTCAATTTAATTTTATATACTTGGATGGTAAGAAATAAATTCGCCGCGAAAATAAAAATTTAATTTTATAACTTATTAATAAAAAAAAAAAAAATTTTGCCATTTTTTTTTTCGTTCACTAACAAGATCACATTCAAACAAATTTGTTTAAATAAAAAAAAAAAAAAAAATAATAATAATAATGTTGTGTTATTAATTTTTTGTTTTTAAATGAGATTAAATGTGATAAAATTTTTGCTTTATGAAGGGCCTATGTGACGTCACATCACTAGTCAGATGAGAGTTTTTGCAATTAATAACGTATTCTTCGATAAAAGTGTTGTATTTATTTTTATTTTATTTATTTTATTGCGATTTAATTCGTTTAGTTTAATAAAATATTAGTAAATCTTTATTCTTTTATTAAAAAAATATATAAATAAAACTTATTAATAAAAATAATGTTATTAAATTGCAAACTTTTTTATCAATGTTAATTTAAAAATGTCAACAATTTCGTTATTGTACAGTTATTGTAAAAAATTTTTTTTTTTTTTTTTTTTTATCCTTTTTGTAGAATAAATTATTTATAAATTTCTCTCGAATATTATTAATTATATATATTTTATAAAATAAATAAAAATTATTTATTAGACACAGACATAGAAGAAAATTAATAATATTTGATGCAAAAAGGTTTTTATTTGTGCATTTTTCATATATTTGAATTAACTTATATAAATTAATAAAAAAAAAAAAATTTTTAATGAAATGAAATAGTTAGTGATGTAATTTAAACAAATAGATTAATTTAATATTGATAAATAACAATTATTTATGTGATTTGTAACAAGAATAATTAAAAGTAACATCACACACACACACACAGACAGTCGATGAAATAATAACAAAAAAATTTTTTTTTTAGACAAAATGAATTTGTTCGAATAATCCTGTGATTGAAAAATCATTACATCAAACATTTCGATATGAATTCAAGTAAAAATTAATAAAAAAATGTTTTTAAGACTTGATTTTATGTCATTTTTGATTTGTAAATTGTAACGAATAGTCATTTTCAAAAAAAAGAAAGTTATTTTAATGTATACTTTGTCTTTACACACATTTGTGTTTATTGTAACAAATAAATAAAAATATTTTTCATAATTAGTTTGTAACAATATGTCTTTTTAAAATTATGATTCACAAAACATTAAAGATTTCAATATGATGTACTAAACAACTTGATAAGTTTTTTTTTTTTTCAATCATACTTGTTCGATAAAATAAATTTAATGAAAAAAATCAATCGAAACAAAGTGTCTTAATTATTAGAATGGTATATGTGTGTGTGTGTGTGTGAACTTTAATAAAAACCTTATGAACTTGATAAAATAGAAAGAAAAAAAATATTCATGTTAATTTAAGGTATGTTAATTATTAGTTACTTACAGTTTGATTATTAATGAAGCATACACTTTCTGTAACAATATTTTTTTTTATGTCTTCTAATAAAGAGATGATTATAAACTAATTTTAAAATCGGCAGGTCACTTGCTGACCACCGGATTGAGCCCTTATTCGTTAACGTCATAGTTTTTTTACAACAAATAAAATTTTACATTTAAAATAGATATTTATTCTTGGCTTATATAAAAAAACATTAACGAACGACGCGATTTATTTAATTTATATTTTATAACCGAAATCCGTTTTGTTCTTTAAGTAACAGTCGTTGAATCAACGCCGACACATTATATTACAAATTGAGAAAATGAGTTCGAAAAGTAAGTTTTTTTTTTTTTTTTTTCAATATATTATTATTATTATTATTATCACTTTTATTATTATTATTATTATTATTATTTTTTTTTTTTAAAAAAAAAAAACTAAAATGACAATGAACGTTTTAATTGTAATAACTTGTTTTAACGTGTAGAAATTGCAAATTACGCGGTTGGAAAAAAGATAATCGAAGGTAAAACGAAAATTGTTTGGGAACTTGTCGAACATCCAAATTTATGCCTTTTGGAAAGTAAAGACAGAATAACTGCCGGAGATGGAGTTAAAGCTCACGATTTAGAAGGAAAAGCTGAAATTTCAAATGCTACAAATGCTAAAGTTTTTGAAATATTAAATTCTGTCGGACTTAAAACAGCTTTCGTTAAACCAGCCGGTCCAACCGCTTTTATTTCGAAAAAATGTGAAATGGTACCGATAGAATGGGTTACTAGAAGGCTTGCAACCGGAAGTTTTCTTAAAAGAAGGCCTGGAGTACCGGAGGGTTTCCGGTTTAATCCTCCTTTGCAAGAAACTTTTTTTAAGGTGAGTTTTTAATTATGCAAAAAAAAAATTTTTTAATTAAAATTAATTTCTGTTTTAAACCAATATCTATTTTAATTTTAACTTTTTTTTTTTTTTCAGGACGACGCAAATCACGATCCACAATGGACGGAAGAACAAATTGTATCCGCGAAATTTAAAGTTAACGGTCTTGTAATCGGTCAAGATGAAGTTGACATTATGAGACGTACTACTGTTGTAGTATTTGAAATTCTTGAAAAAGCATGGAATACGAGAGATTGTGCATTGATTGATATGAAAATTGAATTTGGAGTCGATTCTGAAGGTAATAAAATATATTTTTTCTTTTTTTTTCCATACATTCAAGACATATGTTTGATGTTGTAATAATTATATGTATTGTAATAAGTTTATTAAATTTTTACATTAATAAAACATTGTTTATTAGCTTGAAATTGAAATAATAATAATAAAAATAAAACAAAATATTGATTAAATCGTCTAAGAAGATATCTCAAAGGTCAAGTTTGTGCCACCAGAAAGGGTCATTGTAATCATGACCTTTTTTTATTATTAAATAAGCTGCACATATAATAATTTAGGCTACAAAAATTCAGCTGTGACCTTCCCCTAATTAAATTGAAATTTTTTTTTTTCTTCACATTTTATTAATTAAAAAAAAAAAAAAAAAAAACTTCCAAGGTAGAAAAATAATCTGAATGGACTAATAACCTGTTTTAGGAAACATCCTTGTTGCTGATGTCATCGATAGTGACTCTTGGCGTCTTTGGCCATCAGGAGACAAAAGATTGATGAAAGATAAACAAGTTTACAGAAATTTAACGACCGTTACTCAAGAGGATTTAAATACAGTAAAAAATAATTTCAAATGGATTTCAAATCAACTTGAACACTTGACGCCCCCAACCAATTCATTGGTAATTTTTTTGTTGATATTCCTTATATTTTTTTCTTACCATTATTATTAGGTATAAAAATTTTAATTATTCTCCTTAATACAGGTCGTAATTTTAATGGGATCTCCATCTGATTCTGATCATTGTATGAAAATTGCAGAACATTGTCAAAAATTGGGTGTGCCAGCACAATTGAGAGTGACTTCAGCACACAAAGGAACATCGTCAACATTGAATGTTGTCGCTCAATATGAAGGTCTAAATGATAATATATGAAATTATTTTTGTTTTTTATTTTTATTAAAAAATTATATTTAAATGAATATTTATTTTTAGGAACAAATCAAAAAGTAGTTTTTGTTGCTGTCGCTGGAAGAAGTAATGGTTTGGGACCTGTGTTGTCTGGAAATACTAGCTACCCCGTCATAAATTGTCCTCCTGTTAAACCGGACAATGTTACCCAAGATATATGGTCATCTGTAAATGTGCCATCAGGTATAATAACATGTTCATATAAATATTAAAAAAATAAAAAATTGATTCAATTATAATAATTTTTAAAATTGATATAAAAATTGTTTTTTAAAAAAAAATATTATTTATTTTTTAGGTTTGGGCTGCACTACAGTTCTTTATCCAGAAGCTGCCGCACTTGCAGCTGCTCAAATTCATTCACTTCACGATTATATAATTTGGTCAAAACTCAGAGTTAAACAATTAAACAACCACAACAGTTTGAGTTTGGCTGACAAAGCAATGAGAAACACAGTTTTATAAAAAGAATTTTTTAATTTTTGATTTTTATCCATAGCAGCAAAATTGTAAAATAAAAACTTTAGTTCAATATTTAGTTCCTTTTTTTTTCTTTTTTTGTAAACTCTTGCCTGCGCTTAATTATTACTATTTGGCATTTATTTATAATTAACTATTCATTATTTAGCATTTTCTAAAACATTATTTACAGTTTGATTTGCAATATTTTCCATTAAAACATTTGTACTAGTATCTGGGGTAATAGTTTTATTTACCAAGTCATTAACCTCATTACTGATATCTGAAGATATTTCTGCTGTACACATTTCTTTATTACTATCAATTTGAGAATTTGTTTTGGTTTTAAGAAATATTCGAGAGAGTTCTAATGTTTTAGAGCTCATACATTTGTATCTTAACATTTTAGGAGGTACTACTGTGAAAACTGAATCTACCGGTTCTGGAGATGGATCTTCTTCAAAAAATAATTTAGTTCCTAAAACATCCCTCCAAACTCCTAAAAAATTAATAAAAAATTAATGTTAAAAAATTTTACATTTGAATAAATTTCAGTGTAATCAATTTTTTACCTTTAAAGGTTGTTTCCCCTAACTGAACAATCGGCGTATCGGATTCTAAACCTATAATTTTGAATTTGACATCGGGTTGTAAAAACATTTCTTTGTCAACGGCACCCTCCTCAAAGTTAGCATAAACGATAACTTCTTCTTCTTCTTCTTCATCATTTTTTTCATCTTCATTTTCGTTATGGATATTTTCCATAAACAATATCAAATAAAAGTTATCACTAAGTTCAAACCATTTTGTAAATAAGATTAAATATTTATTTTATTATCACAAACTCCATATTTATTGTGTTGGGTAAAAATGTCGCCAAAAGTAAATCTGAAACACTGCTACGTTTTAAGAATATTCAACTAAATTCAGTTTTTTTTTTTTTTATCGTATTTATTCTTAATTGTGGTATTTTTAAGCTGTTTAATGTCACACCAAAAAATGATTAGATACGTAATTATGTCGGGGTAAGCAACAAGATTTTTACTTAAAGTAATAATTAAAAACAATATACTTTTTGACATTTCGGTGTCATTTGCTTTTTTAAAATTTGTTTTTAATAATTTATTAGTTTCAATTTTAATTTTTATACATTCGTAAATTGACTAGAAATGTTTGTTATATTTTAAATATCGAATAAGTTTTCTCTTGGATTAGGTTTTTAATTCAGACAAGCAAAATTTTTAGTTAATATTTTGCTGATTATTTTGATAGCGTTGAAATAATCAAGTCAAACTTCTCGGTTTACGACTTGTTATCTCGCTTAAATTAAAATGAAATTTTAATTGATTTTTTTTTAAAAAAAAAAAAAAAAAAAAAAAAGCCCATAATAATTTTATTTTATTGTAATGCTTTAAATTTTAATTGTATTTTATTTGAAATAATATGAGAGAAATCATGTACATGTGAAATTAATGTTTTCAACAATGTGAAGTAATTATTCACTAATAAATTAATTTGTTCCTTGTCATGTATTGAATTATAGAACATTTGCTAGCATCTTAAATTTTAGTTGTATTTTTAAAAAACAATTTTAGTTAGTTATGGAGGACAGCATAAGTATTAAGTCCAATGAATCAGTTACAACCAGTGATGAATATGAATTTGTAGCCAAAACAGGAATTATAAATAGTAACAATACTTCTAAAGGAGAGCAACCTCTACTTGACATAGCGAATAATGGTGATTTAAATGATTTATGTATGCAACTAAAGGTATCAATCACACTTTCGAAAAGTCTTTATCTGTCAAAAATTATAATTTAATCTAAAATAATTAATAATTTTATTTAATTTTTCATTTTGTAATAGGAAGTACTAAGTGATGAAGATAAAATGGAATCAGTAAATACATCTAATTCAGAATCTGTTACTGAATTATCTAAAACATCAACTGATAAGGATTTCACCGAATGTTGTAGTGAAAAAAATGATGACAAAAAATCCGAATATGATGATGATATTGGTAAGTACTAAAATCAAGCAGTTTCACTTGTTAATTTTATATTTAAAAAAAAAAAAAAAAAAATTTGTACTAAATAAATACTAAAAAACAGAAAGTAATTGATTTCATATTTTTTAAATGCAAAATTTGATTCGAGCGTGTGAATATTTTTCATAAAATTTTGTGTGCGGAAATATTAAAAAAAAGATTTTTTCATTTAGATGTGTTTGAGGATATACAACAAGAGTGCACAATTTTTAATGGGGTCACATATCTTGGTTCGGCTGCTATCAATGCTCCCAAAAGTGAAATTGAAATTCAGAGAAATATGACTATATTAAATGAACAATCCTCAGAAGAAGCAATAAGAGTGTCAGTTTCGGTACCAAGTTCATCTGAAGGAGTTGTCGTGTAAGATTATCATAAAAATTAAATATTAATTTGCAAAAATTTTTTTTTGTTTATCTTTACGTAGTAAGTGAGGAGTTAAAAAAAAAAAAAAAAAAAAAAAAAAATTAATTATAGGTTGTACGATGCTGATACTCAACAAGTGATGGCACGCTATGAAATTTACCAAATACTTTTTTACGCGAGAGGCCCTGCTGACACATCTGAAGCATCCTGTTTTGCATTTACTTGGTCTCATGGAGACAATCAAGAAAACGCCATTTTCCAGTGCCATGTTTTCAGATGTGACATTCTTGAAGCCGTAAGTTTTTTTTTTTTTTTTTTTTAAATCGTGAATCATTGTTTTTAACAAATTTTTGTTATTGTATTTCTTATAAAAGTTTCTTTTAAAAATGAAGGATGATAATAATAATAATAATAAAAAAATAGGGTATAAAGTCTGAAATTGAAAATGTGATTGTACTTCTTTGAATAATATTTTTTTTTTTTTTCTTTTTTGTTTTTAAAGTGAGTGTTATACCTTTTTTTTTTTTTTTTTATATATTTAATGTTAAAAAGAACAAAGGTTTATAATTTGAAAACAATTTTCAATCAAAACAAAAATTTCCAATTGTGTATATATAAAAGTAAATGAGTCATTTCTTACCAAAAATACATGAAAAGAGATAAAATACGACGTAAACAAAATTCTAGAGTTTTTTTTTTTTTTTTTGGGGGTAAACAATTCTATTTGTATTTTTAATCACATAAAATTTTATAATGTGACCAATATATATATATATTTTTATTAAAAATGTTTTTATTATTCACGTGGTGATGTTTTTTTTTTTTTTAAATACTGGTATATAGACAAAAATTTTTTCTTATTTTTCTCATTAGGTCGGACAAGTTTCATCCTGTTTTGCAAAAGCCTTTCAAAAAATTCCATCTTCAATGACGTCGAGCATAATGCAATCAGATGGGAAAAATATGCAAGTTTTTGTGTTTGAGGTAACGATGGAAATCAAAGAGGAAGATGGCAGAGGTGGATACAGCACAGTTCCAAAAGATAGAAATTGTTTTAAATTAAGAGTTAATTTAGAAAAAATGTTATGTTTGACCGTTCGACAAGTTTCCAGCAACGACAAACTTTTAGAAATCGAAAGATGTTTTGGAGTTTTAGTGAGTCCGGGCCGAAATGTTAAACACAGCGATATGCAATTACTCGAAATGGCACGTTTGTTTTTTTTTTTTTTTTTTTTTTGGATTTTTCACGAATGATAAAATTAAACGTTTCGTTTTATTTTAATTATCGATTATATTTAATTGTTTTTTTAAAAAAACAGGTTTCGATGAGTTCTGGAGCTGGAGAGACTTTGGTGGTTTTAATATCCGGACAGTGGAATCCTTTGGAACCGGCTTTCAAACCTTTGAACGTTGAAACTCCTCGCGACAGTAAAATATTTATGACAGTTGCATTAGATCTCGTTATAAAAAGAATTCAACATCCGGTGCGTTTCTTAATCGAAACCCCCGTTAAAATTTGTCCTCAAAATGAAAGATTTTGGTACTTGAGTTCTCGCAAGTTGGTACAACAGTTTTACTTAAATTTAAGAGCAAGCGAATCGGGTGATTCTTACGAAGTTCTCAGTATTGAAACGTCCGGAGAATTGGATCGGAGCCGGCTAAGTTTAACTCTTAATCTTGCTAATTTTATTTTATCACCCAGTATAAACTCTGTTGAAGAAATCGTCACTCCCAGGGAAGATGAATCAGGTAAGAAAAAATTTTTATTTATTTTAAGCAGAAATATTTCAACTCTAATTTTAATCAATTATTTATTAATAATTTATTTAAGATAACGACGAACCGATGTTAAGCGGGACCGGTGACGTTTCCAAAGACTGTTCCATTATCGAACTTGAATCGTGGGGTGACGTTTTGCCGAGGTGGAAAAGAGGAGAAGAAAGACCTCGACAATTGACTGCTCTCGTTCAAAATGGAATACCTGAAGCGTTGAGGTGTGAAATTTGGCAACGGTTGGCCGGGTGTGAAAACGATAGAGTGATGATGGATACATTTAGAATATTAATCACCAAAGTATATAAAATTTCATAAAATAAATTATTTAAAAAATTTTTTTAAATTTAATTTAATTTAATGAATTTCAGGATTGCAATTGCGAAAACGTAATTCAACGTGATATTAATCGTACATTCCCGGCTCACGATTTTTTCAAAGAAGCAGGAGGACTCGGTCAGGACTCGTTATACAGGATCTCAAAAGCCTATGCCGTTTACGATACAGAAGTTGGTTATTGTCAAGGTTTAAGTTTTTTAGCGGCGACGTTACTTTTACACGTAACACATATTTATTATTTATTAAAATTCGTCTCCTATTTTTTTTTTTTTAATAAGAAAAACGTTGTCGAACTAACGTTGACTTATATTAATTTTTTTTTTTTTTAGATGCCTGAAGAACAAGCATTTTGCGTTTTGATCAAATTAATGTATCAATATCGCCTTAGATATTTATATAAAGATGGTTTCGATTGTCTACACATGAAATTGTATCAACTGAGCCGTCTCGTTGAAGAACAATTACCCCAATTATCTACTCATTTGACAAAGAACAAAGTTGAATTTCACATGTTTGCATCTCAGTGGTTTTTAACCGTTTTCACGGCGAGATTTCCCCTTTTCCTCGTTTTTCACATATTGGACGTATTTTTACTTCAGGGAGAGGAAGCACTTTTTCAAGTGGCTCTTGCTCTTTTGACGGTCGGTTGTAAAAATCAATTATTATTATGCGTACAAGTAAACATAATTTAAGACATTGTTTTTTTTTTTTTTTTTTTTTAATTTTCAGATGTTTAGAAAAGACTTGCAACAGTTGGATTTTGAAAGCATATTAAAATATTTCAGAGTGACTTTGCCGAAAAAATGCAGATCGAAAGAAGTCGCTCAAGCCGTCATGAAATTAGCATGTAGTTTAAAAGTGAAAAAATTAAAGAAGTACGAAAACGAATACACGGCATTAAAAGGTATTCATTCGAAAAAAAAAAAAAATACAAAATTTAAATCAAACATTTTAAATAATTTCACTTATTTCGTTTTGGCAAAATGATACTTTTTGAAACCTTTCTTAAAAACATAAATAATATTTATAAATAATTGTAAATTTTTTTTTATTTATCGATCGATATTCTTTAAATTAAAAAAAAAATTATATATATATATATGTATTACCAAATAAAAATATTCATAATTTAGTCATGGATAAATATTATTATATTTTAATTTTGTATATAATTAAATAAAGTTCCTGGAAAAAGTAAATAAAAAAAAAAATAAATAAATAAAGTGTTTTATTTATTATATAACTTCAGAGGCACAAGATAAAGCCGAAAATTATACAAACGAAATGGAAAGTCTTAAAGCGGCCTTAGAACGATCGGAAGAAGAAAAAAAAAGGTTGGAAGAAGAACTTGTACAAATAAAAAATATGTTAAAACGTGAAGTTGACAGAGCAGAATCGGATGCTCGAAGAAACAGTTCGATAATAGCAGATTATAAACAAATATGTGCTAGATTAGACAAAGAAAGTAATAATATAAAAGGAAAATTACGAGATTTAAGAGTGAGTGAATGTTTTCAATAAAAAAAAAAAAAAATTTTTCTTAGAAGTTGTTATTTCATTATTAATTTTTTTTTTTTTTTTTTTTTTTTTTTTTTCCAGAACGAAATGTCTAAATGTGAAAATTGTAAATCGGGAATTAAAGAAATAGAAATTTTAGAAGAGAAAAAAAATAAAGAAAATTTGGAAAATTTATTAAAAGAAAAAGATCCTCAATTGAATCGAGCATTGGAAAGGATTCGCGAATTGGAATTGGAATTGGCACAAACGAAATTGGAAAGAGTCGAAGCGGAATGTTGGAAACAAGAACTTACTCATCAACTCCATGCGACACTTGCGGAATTGCAAACGGCCAAAACATCATGGATACACAAAACAATATCGTCCATAAAAGAAGTTACGAACAATAAAAAAGAAAATGAACTTTTAATTAATCAAATATCGGACGTACCATCATCAGGAGACGTGAGTTTTATCAAAATGATTTGATAATCCGATTGTTATCATTATTTCTCTCTTCCCCTTCCCCCCCCCTCTCTCTCTCTCTCTCTCTCTCGTCGACTCGATTATCTAATTCGTTTTTATTATTATTATTATTATTATTTTCAGAGCGGAGAATTGATAAAAAGAGTTTTTGCATCAAGGAGATCAATGAAAGAAAAAGAACTCTTGGGAAATAAAGAAAAAGAATCCAATACGAACAACGATGTTTCTTTAACGACGACGACGACAACAACAACAACAACAACCGGACGTAAAATTTCATTGTCATCTCCAGAATTCCAGGACACGGTAAACAATTCAAACGTTTGAAATTTATGGAAAATTTACAGGGAGCGATGAATTATCTATCGCATCGTCCATGCACACAAACCATTTTTTTTTTTTTCATTTATTTTTTATTATTATTATTATTATTATTATTTTTTTTTTATTTTTATAAGGCACACAACATTCTTATTTTAAAAATTATTATTTATTTAAAAAAAAAAAAAAAAAAAAAACTTATTGAAGAGCTTCGATCGAAAAAACAAAACAAAACAAAGAAAATCGTACTACTCGTGTTTATTATATATACGTGTATAATGTGAAAATACTCTTTCGATTAGTTTTTAATTTTAAGAGCAAATTATTATTATTATTATTATTACCATTATTATTATTATTACCGTTATTATTATTATTGTTTATCGTTTTACTCATTCCTTTTCATCATTTACTTTAAGGTTTTTTCTTTTTTTGTCACGTATGCATGTCTACTAGTCTCTTTGAAAAAATAAATTTAAAGAGCAAAAATTTATGACGTCATAGGTCGTCATCATCGTCATCGTTGTAATCCCACGTCACGAATCCCGATGATGATTTTTTTCAATCTCGATCACAATTTGATTAAACAGTATTAAAATTATTATTTTTTTTATTTATTAAAAATTGTGTTTAGTAATAATAATAATAATAATGGTAATACTTTTAATAATAGTACGACTTGTGTGTAAACGGTCTCTCTTTCTCTCTCTCGTTTTCTCTCTCTCTCTCTCTCTCTCATTTTCTTTTGTAAGTTACGTTACGAATCGGATTTATTTATTTATTAGAAATAGGAGGGGGGGGGGAGGAAATTCGCCTAAGTTTGCTTAATTTTGTTAGTGTTATTATTATTATTATTTAATTGTCATTAAGCATTACGAGGTGTTTCCGGTCACTATAAGTTTATTATCATTATCATTTTTTGTTTTTTTTTTTTTTTTCAAATAAGAAATAAAATGTGTGTTAGAGTATTATTATTATTATTATTATTATTGTCATCGGTGATAAGTAGATTTATTGATAGGATAAGGTAGTGATTAGGTTTGTTTGTTGTTTTGTTTTTTTTTTTTTTTAATTTTGATAAGAATTCATTTATATCATTATCATTATCATTATTAGTATTATTATTATTAGTATTATTATTATTATTATTATTATTATAACGCAAAATGTTTTTTTATTAAATTTTTTTGTTATGTTAAAGACAAAGGAAAAAGAAAATTATTATTATTTTTTTTTCTAACGAAAGGCCTTATAATTATAATTATTATTATTATTATAAATATTACTACGACTACTACGACTACTACTACTGCTACTACTACTACTACTGTTATTATTATTATTATTATTATTAGTATTACTATAACTATCACTATTACTATTATTAAAACAAAACAAAAAAAAGAACTTAATGAGTAAAAAAATTTATATGGACTGATTTGTTTGTCGAAAAAAAAAGAAGAAAAAGAAATAACAATAATAATAATAATAATAACAATAATAATAATAATAATAATAATAATAATAATAATAATAATAATAATAATAATAATAATAATAATAATAATAATAATAATAATAATGATAATAGTGATAATAGTGATAAATGAAAAAAAGTTTTTTTTTTTTTTGCTTTTTCTTTCTTTCTTATTAAATTTAATTTAGCGAAATGAACAAATAAATTTAAATTTATATATATACCTTAAGAAATAATTTTTTTTTTTTTTTTTTAATCTTTTGATTGTAAAAAATTTTTGGAAAAAGGTTTTTCCCGATTATTTAAACAAAAAAAGAAAAAAAAAATACGAAACGAACAAAAAGTTTTTTTTTTGTAATAAAATTTCCACAACTGATGCAAAAAATAATAATAATAATAATAAATAATCAAATTCGATAATAAATTTTTTATTATTTTCATTTTTTCTTATTTTTTTTGTTTTCTCGGATTACACATATATATACAAATGTATATACGTATGTAAGACAAATTATCATTATTATTATTATTATTATTTATATTTAAAAAGAAAAAATATATATATATATATATATATATATAAAATGTAAACTTATTCTACTATTATTATTATTTATTATTTTATTTTCACAAAATTTAAACTAAAAAAAAACTAAAAACAAAAAAAAATATGGAGGAAAACATAACTTATTATTATTATTATTTTATATATATATATTTAATAAAACTTATTTTAATAAATTTATTATTAATTTGATTAAAATAATAATAATTTTTAACTAACGAAAACAAACAAAAAGAAAAAATTTTGACGCGTTTTTTTTATTTATTATTGTTAATTATTTAAATTTAAATTTCTTATTGTTATTACTATTATTATTATTACTATTAGTTTTATTACTTAATCTAAAATGTATTTAATTAATAATAATAATAATAATAATAATTATTATTATTATTATTATTATTATTATTTGAAACAAACGGGACCCACGTGAAAACCGAATGCTTGATTTGGTAGACCGTAATCGACCGGATAAAAATCAATTATCGGAAGTTGTTCTAAATTTTTAGTTTTTATTTGGAAAATTGTTTCCGTTTTACTTTTTCTCGTCTGCAAAAAAAAATAAATAATGAGTGAGTGAATGAATGAATGAAAAAGGGTTCGTGGAAAATTTTTTTTTTTTTAGGTACGATACCTTGCAACCGTCTGCTAATATTATAGGTTTTATTTCGTTGTAACCAAATTCGACTTCGTTTTCTCCTAATAGTCGTATTGAAAAGTTGTAATTGTCACCTTTTTGATTGTGCCAGGCTGCTGCATTTATACACGTGTATGTGAAATTCTGATAAGCTTCTTGACTTAATAATCTTAGAAAAGTCATTTGTACGACTCCGATCGTTTCGTAAGTTATCTGGAAAATATTTTATTGGGAAAATTATTATTAGTGTATGACGAGGGTGTTGTAGTGCTTTATGTTGTAGGTTTGATTTATTACCCTAAATCCTCCTCTCAGGTTCGAATACCAATCCGTTTTTTCACCTTCTTTTCTCCAAGGAATGTTTGGCATTTGACGAGAATGTATGTCTGGAAAAACGCAAGTTTCACCTTGGCCCGTTATGTTACAAAAAACATAAACTGCATCATCTGTCATTCCTAAATTAGGGTCTATCCAATACCAATCTGTAAAATTTGAAGGGTTGGAAAATTTCGTTGTTAAACTTCTGGTTTATGTTTGTTATTAAGTTTTGGTTTTTACCGTCTTTAAAATGAGGATGGCCGTAAAATAAATCTTTGCAGGTTCGAACAGGATTGTCGCGAGTTCCCAAAGGTTTTCTTATCCTTTCTAAATCTTGTCTCATCGTGTAAATGGAGCTGTACATGTCTAAAAATTTTCCATTGTCTTCGTTGTTTTGTTTTGATTTTTTATTCGTGTTTGTACCGGGTTTGGATGTTGAGGTGGCCGTTGCTCTTTCTTCTTCTTTTATTAGTTCTTCGAGTTCTAATAATTCAGTTCTAAAAACAAACAAAATGTTTGTGTACTGGGGAAAAGTGTTTATTGAAAATTATTAACCGTGATATTTACTCTATGTCTCTCCTCCTTCGAGAATCTGCTTTAAAATGACTTTCTGTTTCGGTACCCGTTTGAAAAAGTAATTCTGGAGGTAGTAATGGAAATTCACCCGGTGGACCTGGAGGACCTGGTAATCCTGGTTTTCCTGGTTCTCCTTTCATTCCTGCAACTCCTTGTGAACCTTTAGCTCCCGGCGGTCCTTCAACTCCTGGCATTCCAGGTGGACCGTCGTTACCCTTGGGACCCGGCGGACCTGGCGGTCCCTAAAGTATATATTTAAAATATTTGAGTTTTATAATATTTTTTTATATGTATGAATTTTAAGTCATACGTACGATTTCTCCTTTCTTTCCTTCTACTCCTTGCATTCCTAATAGTCCTCTCTCACCTTTTTCCCCCATGTCACCTTTAATGCCAGGCAATCCCATTTCACCGCGATGACCTTTAGAACCTCTTCTACCTCTATCCCCTTTCATACCCTTTAATCCTCTTTCACCATTTTTACCGGGTGGACCTTCTGCACCCGTTTTTCCTGGAGGTCCTACGTCTCCCTTAAACATTAGTTAAAATTTTTTTTTTTTTTTTGCAATAAAAGGTGTTGATATAAATTTATAAAATGAAAAAAAACGTACAGCATTTCCTGGAGAGCCTACAGGCCCAGGAGGTCCTCGTAGGCCTGGCAAACCTTGCGGTCCTATTAATCCTTGCGGTCCCATCGGTCCAACGGGTCCTCCATCTCCTTTTTCTCCTGGGGGTCCTGGACTTCCTTGAATACCGGCTGGCCCTTCAGGACCCTATTTATAAATTTTAACATCTTTTTTAAAAAGGAACTTATTGAAAATAAGATTTGGACAGTTGAGTGTGGTTTCTTTACTTACAACTTTACCAGGAGGTCCTGGTTCTCCAGGTTTGCCTGGTAATCCTGCTTCTCCCGGAGGACCTGTATCTCCTGGTTTACCTTCACTACCATCCAGTCCTGCCTCCCCTTTTGGTCCAGGAATTCCAGGTTCTCCCGCTGGTCCGGGAAATCCAGGAGGACCTACACATAATTAATTAAAAGTTAGATTTTTATTTTGTAATAAGAAAATTTTAAGTATCAGCAAATTTCGTAGCTTTACCTGGATTTCCTTTAGCTCCTTCTACTCCTGCAGGTCCTCTTGGTCCTGGAGATCCTTGCGGTCCGGATTTTCCTTCTTCTCCTTTTGGCCCGGGAGGTCCAACTTCACCCTTTATTCAAGTAAAAATATAACTATCTCTTTTTAGCATTTAAAACAATAATATTAATTTTTAAGTTTCTTCTCACATGTTTTCCATCCAATCCAGGTGGGCCTGGGAGACCTGGGTTTCCGGGTTCACCTTTTGGTCCTTGTAATCCTTCCGGACCGGGTGGCCCAGTAGGACCTTCTCCTCCTTTTGTTCCTCTAGGACCCTGTTCTCCGGGTAATCCAGCAGGTCCCAAAGGTCCTGGAATAATTTTTTTTTATTTATAATCCTTTGTCTATGTTGACTGTTAATTAAATTAATTTTTTTAAAAACTCTTAAACTTACCTTTCGCTCCTACATCTCCTATTTCACCTTTTACACCCGGTGGACCTGGTAATCCTTGAGGGCCAGGAGCTCCTGGTGGACCAGAAACGCCTGGAGGACCATCTTCTCCTTTTGCACCCTGTCTTCCCATTTCTCCAGGAGGTCCTTTTTCTCCCGGTAAACCCAATGCTCCTGGTTCACCTCTAATACCTTGTGTTCCTTGAGATCCTGGAGGACCCTGTGATAACGAAAAAAAATTTATTATACGTGTAAAATTAAAAATTTATTTATTTTTTAAAATTTTATTTTTTACACGTACCATTTCTCCTTTTGCACCTTTAAATCCTTTTTCTCCTGGTGCTCCTACATCACCTTTATCACCATCCTCACCAGGAGGTCCAATTGGACCTGGTGGACCAGGTAATCCTCTTAAGCCAGGCAGTCCGTCTCTTCCCGTAGCTCCTGCAATACCTGGTTCTCCCTTTCATAAAAAAACAACTTTGTAGCGTAATTTTAAAGTAAAAAAAAAAAAGAAAAGAATATTGTATAATCATTACCCTGTCTCCTTTAGTTCCAGGTGCTCCGTGTGATCCTGGAGAGCCTTGTCGGCCTTCTGGCCCTGGTGGACCGTCTTTACCTGGTTCTCCTTGTTGACCTTTGTCTCCTGTAGGGCCCATAGGTCCCGCAGGTCCCATTTCACCTTTCAGTCCTGACGTTCCCTTAAAAAAAAATTTTTTATTCATTTTTTCAATTATAATTAAAAATTTAAATTTTACTTTGTGTAGAATTAATTAACACTTACTGGAAGACCTGGATGTCCTCTTTCTCCTGGAAAACCAGGTGCACCAGGTGGTCCCGGAGGACCTGGTTTTCCAACAGGTCCGGCCGGTCCAGTTGGTCCCTCTTTACCCATTTCACCAGGATCTCCAGGTTCTCCGGGCAATCCAGGATGTCCTAATATTTAAAAATCATTTAATAAATGCATGTAATTACCTAATCATAAAAGCAATAATTTACCTGGTGCTCCGGGCTCTCCTATCGGTCCAGGTTCTCCTGCGGGACCTGGAGAACCAACAACGCCTGGCGCTCCTGACGGCCCTTGCGGTCCTGGTTCACCTGGAGCTCCTCTTTCACCAGGGCCTCCAGGTGGACCGTCTTTTCCGTTGCTACCAGGAGCTCCTTGCGGACCAGGAAATCCTCTTGCTCCATCGGGTCCCTGTGGTCCTCTTTCACCCTGAGGACCAGGTGGTCCGGGCTGTCCTGTATCACCTTTAGGACCAGGTGTCCCTTCTGAACCTCGTCTTCCTCTAGCTCCTCGAAAACCCTTTTTACAGAATAATTTAATATAACTAAACCCTAAAAATTTTGTTTTATTACATTCTAAAACGATAAATTTTTCAAACTTACTCTCGGTCCCGTTTCTCCTCTTTCTCCAGGTTGTCCTTGATTTCCCTAAAAGCAAAAAAAAAATATATAAATTTACTCACAACAAATTTAAGGCAAAAAAAAAGAAAAGTTTTTCCAACTTACTCTGTCTCCTTTTTCTCCCGGCTGACCGATTCTACCTTCTGTACCTTTATCTCCTTTTTCTCCTGGTGCTCCTGGATAACCTGCAAAACCCGGGGATCCTATTTTTCCTTTTTCACCTTGAGGACCAGGGGGTCCAGTTTCACCTCTAGGACCTTCGAAACCCTTATTAAAAAAATAATTTTGAAATTAAATATAAAAAAAAAGAGGAAGTAACGAATTCTTATCAAAAAACCATAAAAAATAAATAAAACAATTATCCAATAAATTTTTATTCCAGGAATTTATCGTTTTAGTCACTCACCTACCCACTAAAAAAAAAAAAAATTAATTTTAGTAAAAGCTTTTTCCTGTTATGAATCTATTATTATTATCAAATCACTCGGAATTTTTTTATTTATTTTTACAATATATCATTCTGTCGTAGTCATTGTGTGTCTTAATTCATAAAAAACTAAAAGTCTTAATACTAAATTTAACAGTTTTTTTTTTTTAATTAAAGGTCGTGGACAAACCTTTGGTCCTTCAGGTCCTTCTAATCCAGTCGCACCGGCAGGACCTGGTACCCCACGATCTCCTTTCATTCCTAAATCTCCTTTTTCTCCATCTGGTCCTCTATCGCCTTTTTCTCCCTTTTCCCCGGAAGGCCCTCTTTTCCCTTCGTCTCCTTTAACTCCTCTCGTTCCGGGAAATCCGACCGGTCCTAATTTTCAATAAAGTTGAAAGAATGTCAGAGCGTTTAATTAAAATTTGTTTTTTTTTTATTTAATTTTATTAATGGTTGAGATTTTTACCTTGAGGTCCAACCGGTCCAGTATCACCTTTCGGACCGGAATTACCTTGACTTCCGGGATGTCCAGGAGCTCCTTCAGCTCCTGGAAGACCGGGTAAACCTGATTTTCCCGGTGAGCCCTAAAACGATTGATTTTTATTTTTTATAAAATTAATTAATAATTTTTTATTTGTTTAAAAAATACTTACCGGTAATCCGGGAGGACCTAATGGTCCTTGCGGGCCTGGTGGTCCTATAGCACCCGGAGGCCCCGGTTGGCCTGGATTTCCTGGTTGCCCGGGTGGTCCACTTGCTCCTTTTGCACCCGGTGGCCCTTCTCCTCCAGGAACACCTGGTGAACCTGGCAATCCAGGAAAACCTCTTGGACCTGGAAATCCTCTCGGACCCTAAAAAATATGCTACATTTTCTATAAATAGAAATTGATGATGTCCGCAAGATAAAAGAGAAGTTTTTGGTTCGGTTAAAGGAAGTAATTAACTGATATTCCTCAAATTACTTACAAGTTCTCCTGGTAAACCTGGCAATCCCGGTGGTCCATCATCTCCTTGCATTCCTTCATGTCCGGTCATTCCAGGTTGTCCGGGTGCACCAGATAATCCTCTTTCTCCTTTTTCTCCGGGCAAACCTTAAACACACCAATAGTTAAAAAAAAAAATATTTAAAAAAAAAAATATCTTTAACAAACCTGGTAATCCGGGAAGTCCTTGTTCTCCTTTTGTTCCTGGTGGACCTGTCATTCCTCTTTCACCATCTCTCCCAGGTCTTCCTCTTCTACCTTCTCTACCAGGTGGACCCATCATACCTCGCAAACCTCGCGGACCCTAAAAAACCAATTTTAAATATAAATAATTACCCCTAAAATTAATAATAATATTTTTTTAACACTCACCGGTTCTCCAACTTCGCCGGGTTCACCTTTTAAACCTTCAGGACCTGGAGGACCTTGAGGTCCCGGAACTCCTGTGATTCCCATTGGACCATCTACACCTCTCATTGCAACCTGCAAATATATTATATTTTATTTCAGTTTTAATTTTAAAAAAAAATTTTTTTTTTTTCGTTTCAGCTTACCATATGTTGTGAAAGCAAATGTCTCATATGTTCAGCTTGACTATCCGGTCCTTTGTCTGTACTGGACGAACTCAACTGCACAAAACAAAAAAATTTACGTGATTTCTTTCAGAAGTAACAAACCTCAACGAAAAAAAAAACAAAAAAACTTACGGGAATCATAAACACGTGCCCTGGGGGACCGGGTATACCAATATTTCCAACCATACCATCTCTTCCTCTTTCTCCTTTGGGTCCGGGAAGACCTGGCAAACCCGGTATTCCAGGATAACCTCTAGGACCAGGAGGACCTCTAACATAATGAGCTTCCACACCGACTTCAAAAGGTTGTTTTGAATTGTAGGTAAGAACGTTTTCACTTTCAAAAGGTTCCGTCTAAAATTATTTTTAAAAAAAATTATTTTTAAGAAAATTTTTTTTAAAAATTTTTTCACTTACGTTATTATCGTAAGATGGCTGCCTTGTAACGGATATTATATTGATATCCGGTACGACAAAACTTAAATTTTCTTTCGTTTGATTTTCATCTTCGTCATCATCGTTTCCCTCTTCGTAATCATCTTCATCGAAATCTTCATTAATTCGTATTAAATTTCCATCGAGTGATGTGTATTGACTTTCCAATGCTTGAAAATGTTTTTTTTTCTTTTTACCCTGTTGCTTACCATCTTTTTTACCATTATTATTATTATTATTATTATTATTTGTCGAATTTTGTTTATCATTATTATTATTATTATTTTTCGTACGAATGACTTCTGGTAAATTTAATTTCGGTTGAACGTATTTGAATGGTTGATCGCACGGTGGACAATATTCGGTACATATTTCATAAGCGGCATCGGGTGTTGATGAGATCATTAACGTTTGTAAGTCTCCCTAAATAAATAAAAAAAAAATTACAAACTCCTCCCCAAAAAAAGGAAAAATTTTTCAGGTACCTTAAAAAATCCTTCGTCTAATAATTGTTGTCCGATTAAAAATATTCCAGCGACGCTTATTTTAGAAAATGGTTCCCGATTTAAAACTTTTGTTATTTGTTTTTCACAATCCAATATGAGTGTCGCAGCATCTCCTTTAACGCTGAATCCCAATCTGTGCCATCTGAAACAAACACCGGAAGTAGTCATGAGTTATGTCTTCTCACTCTTTTCTTCACAATGTGATCCCCCACTTACTTTCCATCGTTTATTCCGACTCCAAAACTTATAACATTTTGAGTTTGTGGTTTTGTTTCTTCATCTTGTAAAAATAAAATAACATCTTTTCCCAATGAAACAGCTAATTGATCATCTCCTGTGTCACTATACACGGTAAATAGGGTTGATACGCTTGTATCTAAAAAAAATTTTCAAAACGTAGAAAAAAAACCTCCCCTTTTTACAAAACTTTTATTAAAATTTTTATATAAAAAAAGGAAAAAAAAGGAAAAAAGGTAAAATCTATTTTTATAAATTTATGTAAAATATCAATTTACGTAAATCCTGAATATTCAACGTCATAAAATAAATAAACTTAAATGGATAGAAAAAATAAAAGAAAAGTGATTTATGGTTAAAATTATAATGTTACAGAGCGTGTAAAATCCTTTTGACACTTTTTTTTTGAAGGGGGAGGGGAGGGTTGGAAGGGGGAGAAGGAAGGAAGAGGGAAATTGTCGCATTCAACGAATCCATATTTTGCGTGCGTGTGCGTGTGTGTACAAAAGGAAATGATGACATTTTTTTTTTTTTTATTCGAAGAAAAATGAATGAGAGAAAAGTTTAGTAATAATAATTAATACCTGGATCGGGTTTTACTACGAGTATTATTGAAAAATCCGTTGGAAAACCTTTCGGAAAAATTTGTATTGAATTAACCGTTAGTAAAGCTCTTTCGCTTAATCTGTAAGCTTTGTCTTCTGTATCGTTTCCAGGTCTAGACAGACAAAGACCTTCTATCTGAGAAACACCCAGAGGTTCTTCGTGTGCTTTTGTTTCGAAAAGGAGATCTACGACGCCATCTGAAACGATACAAATATAGATATTCAGGTACAAAAAAAAATCGTATTTGTTTACTATTCAAATAATGATGATGATAAAATTTATCAAAACGAAGCAAGACTGGAATGAAATAAATTTTATTTTATTAACCACGCCTTTGAAGGAAGGGGAGGGAAGGGGGGAAAATGGCGGAAAAGTAACAAAGTTAATTCTTTTATTTAATTTAAAAATAAATAATAATAATGATAATTTTTTATACTCCATTCATCAAAATCATTATTACTACGAATCGTCACGACTTTAAATTTTTTTTTTTTTTTATTGATAAACAAATAATTTGAATGGAATTAGATGTCGTCTCGACGATATCCCAAAAAAAAAAAAAAATTCGGTTAATTATTTTATAAATGATTAATTATAGAAATTTTTTTTTACAGAATCTACCACGTGGTTAAAAGAAAAAAGAAAAAAGATCACTGGCCGAATGTATAAAGTCAATGCCTAAATGCGAATAAAGATAGAGAGAGAGAGAGAATCAATAAGAAAAAAAAAAAAAAGGAAAAGGCCATTCATTGCTCATGAACTTGAATCTTTTCTCTCTCTCTCTCTCTCTCTTTTTGATGCCACGTTCACTAATGGTTACAAAACTACGAAAAATTAATATTATTATTATTATTAGTACGATTACGAGATTTTTCTTTTTTTTTCGATTGAATGAAAAACTAAAACTGATAAAAAAAAATTTTTAAGCGAAATGAAATGAATATTATTATTATTATTATCACTAATAATCACGGCTATTCGTTCTAATATTTAATATTTTGTTCCAGGTTTTCTACTCGCCGATCCCTAAGGAATAAATGCCTGAATATGAGTGATGCTGCATGCCTGATGAAGAATAGGTTCCATCTACGACATCACAACATTCTGGTAAGTCTCACCGACACCATCTTATTTATTATTATTATTATTTTTTGACAATGTGTAAAAAAAGGTAGGTTTGGATATTTAATTTATTATCATTGTTTACTCCATTATTTATGCATGGAATTTTTTTTTTGTTCTTTTCGGTTCTGGAAAGAAGAGAAAATTTTGCCGAAAAAAAAAAAAAATGGGCTAACGAATTTAAATGAAATCCGGCTGCGTCACATTTGAGCACGTTTTTTTTTCTTTTTATTTCGTTCTGCCATAGAAATTAGATTAGAAAAAATTAAAATTAAAAAATTTCGAAAGCGGGGAAAAGGTAGGGGAAGGGAGAGGGAGGAGAAAGAGAGACAGAGAGAAAGAGAAAGAGAGAGAGAGACGGACAATAATGAATGTTATTAATTAATGATTTTGACAAACTTACGTACAAAAAAAAAGAAGAAGGAAAATCGAACGCAAAAAAAAAACAAATTCTAAGGGAAAAAGAGGGGGGGGGGAGAGAGACAGAGAGAGAAATAAAAAAATTTTCCATGAATTTTCTTTTTTCTTAAATAAATGTTTTTGACAACCGTGCAAAAGTTTATAAATTTTTTTTTTTTTTTTTTTATCGAACAATAACCGGAAAATGTAGGAAACAATTTTTTTTTTTTTGTTTGTTTTACGAAATCAAAGTAAAAAAAAAAAAAAGGTTTGAGTTTGCGGCGCCTACGTGGAAATAATAATAATAAAAAAAAAGATTTCGATTTAAAAAAAAAAAAAATAATAATAATAATAGTAGAAAAGACTCGAAATTTCCAGAAAGAAAATTAATAATCGAAATGGCCCCAATAAGGTCGATGCTGACGAAAGCGATAAGGGCAACTTTTATGATTTCACAATTCATTAAATAAACTTACATTTGTGACCGCCCATGAATCCTCATGTATAAGTTGCACAACATCTTTAATTCGATCTTTTTTTTTATTTTTTTTTTATTTTCTGTAATTAATTATGTTCACGACGACGACAGCTTTGACACAACAACGACAACAACGACAGCCACAAAAGCCACGACAAAAAAAATTTAAAAATCATCTTTATCTTTAAAAATTGTAACAATTGCATTTGTTTTTTTCCCCCCCAATTCATTTTTACGATTGAATCATTTCAGAAAAAGGCAACGTACCTTAATTTAAGGTTTGTCGTGGTTTTAGAATTTGAAAATTGTATTTTAAAAGAAATAAAAGACGTTTGATATTAGGCCGTCGTACCTGAACTACAAAAAAAATTTTTTTTTTCTCGAGTGAGTGAGTGATTGACGGTATCGATACCAATTTCAGGGCTGCCAACTCATTAAAAAATAATAATAATAAGATAATGATGATGATTATTTAAAATAATTTTTTTTTTTAATTTTTCTTTCGTACGATATTATTAAATAATATTTATTAAAAAAAAAACGTTAATTCCGATATTTCTTCGGGAAAATTCAATATTATTTTACTTACTTCCGGTTTACGTGAATTTTTTTTTTGACGGTGGTATATGTTTAAATACACTTTTCCGCGTGGGAGGTAAGAAGGGAGAGAGAGAAAAGGGGGAGGGAAAGGAGGGAAAAAGAAAAGAAAAACGATGCAAAGCAAATTTAAATTCAAAGGTTAGTTGAACATTTTTTTTTGAATTTTCTTCATTTTTCTAAAAAAAAAAAACAACAATGTAATTTATTTTCACGTCAAAAAAGGAAAAAAGGAAAAAAATTTGTTTTAAATTTTTCGTAAAATGATTTTTATACAAAAAATTTTATTTACTTATTTATTTATTTAATAATAATTGAATAAATAAATAAATAATTAATTATTTGAGTTACGAATTTTTTTTCATAAATTTTCTTCTTTGATCGCGATTTAAAAAAATTTTTTTCCTTTTTAATAAATAATTTCAAATTACGTTGAAAATTATTATTAGTATTATTATTATTATCATTTTTCGTCAAACGAAAAATTAAAATTTTTTAAACGAAAACGAGAGTAAAAAAAAATGAAAATTTAAATTATAAAAATTTTTTTTAAAGAAAAAATTAATTTTTTTTTTTTTTTTACTAAAAGAAAATTCTAAAGACATGAAACCTTAACGAATTCGGTTTAGAAAAAGAATCGAAAATCGGTAGATAATATTGATAATCAAAATTTAAAACGAACCGAATTTTGAAAAGAGAGAGAGACAGAGAAAAACGACGTGAAAAAAGAAAATTAAAAAAAAAAATAATAATAATTTTTGTACCGCATTCGTTAAGAGTTTATTGTTAATAAATAATAATAATAATAAGTTTGTTTCTACTTTTTAAAAAAATGTAGAATTTTATTGAAATCGAATGAACAAACAGCAACAACAACCAAAAACAACCAAAAACTCTATGGAAAAAATTCGAAACAAACAAAAATATTTTTTAAAAAAATTTGAAAAAATACGGAGGGAGACATCCGAACAAAAAAAAAACCAGAACAAGGAAAAACAAAAACAACCTAAAAATTCATTTAAAAAAATCAAAACAAACAAAAAAACAAGGACAACAACAATCGTACCTGGTAAAGGCGTTTCGGACGTAGAAAATTGTACGAAGCACAGTATGATAACAGGTGCAAACATAATCCCTTTTGAAAATACTGATATCCGCCATTTTAATTTCCGGTTCATCTTGCCTACATCACAAATAATATAATGTAATTATTTTTTTCTTTTTTCCCCCCCTTTATTTATTATTATTATTATTAATTTTTTAATAACGTTTTTCGCGTCGCGAAAAAAATGACACTCTTACACAATTTTATTTCTTTTTTTTACCAAATAAAAAAAAAAAAAAAAAAAAAAAAACAACAACAATAACGATTTCAATCTCTAATCATCAATAATCGATCATTTTTTTATTTCCCTTTCCGTATATAGACTACGAACGAAAAAATCAACCAAGATCCGACGATACGACAACGACGACGACGAATCTCATTTTAAAATAATAATAATAATAATAATAACAACTATTATTATTATTATTAGGGATCATGTGGCAAATCCCATGCCCGTCCCCACCGCGACTGATAATGAATGATGATGATGATGATGATCACTGTGAATGATGATTTTAAATTAATAAAAAAATCATTTTCATTTCTACTATCATCATTATCATTATCATTATTATTATTTATGTGTATTATTAATTACCACATTTTAATTTGTGCCATATTTATGTAAAAAAAAAAAAAAAGTCCGAAAATTTTTAATAAGGGTATCAAAAATTTGATAGACTGTCTGTCAATTTATTTGATAGACGTATAAGAATGCTGTTGTTGCTGTTGTTGTTGTTTGTCGTTGTTGGTAAGAGTTTAGGTATATTTTACGGTTCGTTTGTTTTTTAGACATTTTACGACGTAATTCATTCGAATGCGGGTTGTGGGGGGGGAGGAAATCGTCGAATTTTTAATTCATTTTTTCGTTTGTTGTCTGTTTTCGATATGAGTGGTGTTTGTCGTTTGTCTATTTTTCGACGGCAAATATTTTTAATTTAAACTCGGAAAGATTAATTTAAACAAACGATTAGTTCAAATCGTATTTTACGATTTGGTATTAAAAGATTTTTTTTTATTATTATTATTATTAAGTTATTCGTCGTCGACGTCGACGACAACGACGACGACGACAGGATTTTATTAATTTCTGTTGCTTCATTTACTAACAATAACATAAAATTTTCCATTTTTTTTTTTTTTATTAAATTAAATTAAATTAAATTTTCTTACCTTAAATCTAACTCCTCCCACTCTTTCCTTCTCTCCCCCTCTCCCGCTCTCTCTCTCTCTCTCATTAATTTTTTCTTTATTTAAAAAAAAAAAAAAAATCTGGAGAGTTTTTACAAATCGAAATGAATGAAAAAAAAAGAGGGGGAGGGGAGAGAGAAAATGGAAAATAAATAATGGGAAAAAGTATTTAAAAGGTTTGTTTTTTGATTGTTGTTTGTTTGTTTGTTTTATTTTATTTTAAAATAAAAGTCCTAAAGTCAACCTTTTATCATCTTCAAACCATCTGGAAAGTTTATATAATTTTTTTCACATGAATTACTTTTTAAAAAAAAAACAATGGTCATTCGATTTCAAATCATTTATAACATCATTATGAAAAAAAATTTAAAAGTATTGTACGTTATTCACGACTCATCCCCTCCCCTTACCCCCCCCCCCCAAAAAAAAGAATTCGACCTCTGAAATATAAAATTTCATATATTTTTAAATTTAGTTTTCCTTTGTAAAAAAAATAACGAACGACAGACGGGAAATTAAAAGAAAAATAATAATGATAATAATAATATTAATAATGATGATGATAATGATGATGATGATGATGATGACAATGAATAAAAAGAAATTTTTCAATGGAAGAATTTAAAATTTGGAAATTTATTTCGATGTTTTAGCTGTTGACCGAACCATATTGATATCATCAGCAAGGCTAAATATTTGACCTTTAACCTCCCAAAACATTATTTGTCCTTTTAATAACTTAATTTATGTTCTTGCCTTGTGTGTCTGTTTCAACAAAAAAAAAAAAAAATCAAACAAACATATATTTTTTTTTTAAAAAACAAACAAACACAAACATAAAAATAAAATTTTTTTTATATTATTAATAACAACCGTTAATTAAAACGTTGTTATTATTGTTGTTGTTATTAATAATAAAATTTTTAATTTTATCGATTATTATTATTATTATTATTACGTGTTTAACATAATAATTAATTTTTGTTTATTTAAAAAAAAAAAAAAAAAAACTTTTCATTAATAAACTCGAATGAATGATTTGGATCAATGATTTCGACGTTTGTATTTCCTTGTCGTTTTTTTCAACCGAATAAAACAACATTTTTACTAAATTATTATTATTATTATTATTATTAATTAATTCGGTTATTTAAAATTTATTATTATTATTATTATTAGCTATTAATAATTTAAATAATATTTATAACTTATCAATTTTCAAATTAATAATAACTTTATTCGAGAGAAAAAAAAAAATTCTTTTAAATCTCTTAAATTTATTTATTATTATTATTATTATTATTTGAGGATTTTCCGTGATTTTCCGTGGTTGAGGGGGTAGGGAGGGAATAGAAACAGGGGGTGGTAAAAAGGGAAATTAGGAAATATTTCGTTAAAAGGAAAAAAATTTTTTTAATGGTATTAAAAGTGGGAAGAAAACGAATAGGAGTAGTTAAATATTTATTATTACGTTGGAATTTTATTGTTTTTTTTTTCCGAGTCACGGACGATTTGATTTTACGGTTGGAAAAATTAAAAGGATTTTTTATTTAAGCACACACGCACACGCACACGCACGCACACACACACACGAGGGAAAACGCGGTTTTAGGTGTTATATATTATTTAATATTTAATATATCAATTACGATTATTTAGTCCGGATTTAATAAATTCTCTTTCCGTAAATTATTATTAAATATTCCTTTAGTGATTTTTTAATTGTTTTTTTTTTTTTTTTAGGCGCGTTCGTATTAAATTTTTACGTTTTTATTGTACCCCCGGCCGCCCCCCTTCCTCCCGCCCTTTCCCCCTACGAATTATTATTATTATTAAAAAAAACGTAGGGAAGTAAATAAATAAATAAATTTTTTAATATGTATATGTTTTATATTAAAACAAAAAAAAATCTATAAACTTTTATTTCAATAAATAAAAAAAAAAGTTATGGAAATTATTATTTAATATTTATTAAAAAAATTTTTATGTAACGTAAATAATACATAATGCCGTAGGTGTTTTTTATTTATTTTTTTCTTACATAAAATTTATTTATTTATTTATGAAAACAATAAATAAAATAAAGGAAAAAATAAGTTTTACGGATTATTTTAAATAAATAAAAAATTAATAAATAATTAATAATATAAAATAATTTTTATTTAATAATTTAAACATTATATATTAATAATAAATTAAAAATAAAAATAAATAATAATAACATATTTGTCTCGTCTATTAATTTTTTTTTTTTTATTTCATCAAGTGATTTATTAAAATTAAATTTAAAAAAAAAAAAAAAAAAGTTTTTATTAATTTACATAAATAAATACATGTAGTCGGTGTCGACTAATAAATAAATAATAAAGAAATTTAATTAATGACGAGACAAATTAATTAATAAATAAATAAACAATAACTTTAATTAATAAATAATTTTTTTTTCTGTTTTTTTGTAATAAATTATTATTTAGCGTTTTTTACCCCATCTTAAGGGTTGACCCAATGGACGCATACCATCCAAAGATTCAGCGGAAATAAGATTCATTTCCGGTACCATGGATATCATTGGTGCTCTCGATGATGACCGATGACTCGATTTAATACGAATCCCCAAATTTCCAAGTGGTTTCCATCTGGATAGTGCGGACAATGCTCTTTTCCTTTGTAATTTAACATCGTCTGAAAATTAACCGGAATCAAAAGGTAAACTATTAATTACACGCACCCTTAAAATTTTAAGGGATGGTAATGATAATGATAATATTAAATATTTAAATTTCTTTTTAAAACCGCGTAATTTTTTTTGTCAAAATCTATTTTTAAATTCATTTGATTCGTTATGAATTACAAATTTATTTTGATTTATTCACTGAAAATACGCCGCGTATTATTATTATTATCATTATCATTATCATTTCCTTATTTACGTTTTTTTTTTTCTTATTCTATCGAATTATAAAAACGCTCGTTTTTAATATTACGAAATTAAAATTTTTACTCGGCTTAAAATTATTTATTATTATTATCATCGGTTTATTTTTTGGGGGGAAACAAAGGGACGAAATCGTTTTTTTATTATTATTATTATATTTTTCCCATCCATAAAAAAACAATAATGATGATAATAACAACGCTGGCGTTAGTAAATTAAAAAAAAAAATTATTACATTCAAATTTTAAACGCACGCTACGAAAAATTTATTATCATTATCATTATCATTATTATTATTATTATTATTACTTTTTTTTAGGTTCAATTTATTAATAATGAAGGTAAATTTTATTATTATTAATATTTAAAAGGATTTGTATTATTATTTTTCCAAAAAAAAACAAATTACAAATTTTAATACATTAAAAAAAATTTAATGGTTCGATGGGGTCAATGAACTTTATGTAAACAAAAAAAAAACGAACTGGAAGGTCAATTGTATTAAAATTATGGAAAAACAAGAGGAAAAAAATTTTTTTTTTTTATTTTTAATGTTTAATTCAAATTAATAGATTATTAATAATATTATACGATTAAACGCTTACGTGAACAAACAAACAAACAAACGGGGAAAAATTAAAAATTTGATTGTTTGTTTGTTGTATAGGTGAAACAAAAAAAAGTTTATCAAATACTCACATGGTTCATTTTTTTCTTTGACGTCATTTATAAAATTGTATAAATTTTTATCGTATACTGTCGGATTCCAAAATTGTCTGTCTTTTCTATCGTAAATATCTTTCGTGCCATAGGATTCCATACCGTAATAATCATCATTATGTATGCTTCTTGTTTTAACGGCTACCAATATGGCAGAACTCAATACCAATAAAGTCCAACGCATTTAAAATCCCTACAAAAAAAAAACAAAAAATCATTTTGAATGAAATAATAATAATAATAATTTTGTCCTAATATTCCTCCTCTCGCACGTTTCGTTTCATCTTTTAAAATTATTTATCATATAATTAATTATTTACATTGTTGTCAAATTGTGTAATTATTAACCATCATTAAGTTATATAATTCAAAAAAAAATTATTATTATTATTATTATTTCTATTTTTTCGAATTTCTGGTCATTGACTGAGATTTTATTTATCTCCTTAATTTTTAAATAATTTTTTAATTATTACAAAATTTCTTTTTTTACAAATTAATAACTTTAACTATTATTATTATTATTAAAAATAAGAGAAAAGAAAATTTCAATTTTCTTCCCATTGAAATAAAGTTATGAAAAAAAAAAAAAAAAAAAATTAATGGATTTCAATTTAGAAAACAATCATTCATTTTTTGAATGGAGATTTTCCGAAATTTCCTTTATATTTTATTCCTTTTGTTGTTACTTTATGAATAAAAAATGATAATAATAATAATAATAATAATTACTTTTCTTGGGGGGAAAATTATTTTATGACGTTTGTAATAATATTACGAATATATCATTCGTTCGTGTGTAATTTTCTTCTAACGTTTTTAATTTCGACATTTTCTTACACCGTTCGTGATAATTGATAACGAACACATCGAAAATATTAATAACTTTATAAATAATTAAAAATTTAAACACTTAAAAGTCTATTTTAATTAATATAAAATCATCATCATCATCATCACACAATTATGTATTAAAAATAATTTTTTTTTTGTAGTTTTAATTGAAAATTTACAATTAAGATGATGATGATGATGATATAAACTTAATAAAAATTATTTTCTTTTACTTTTAATAATAAAATTTAAATATTAAAACGTTTTTTTAATTAATACATAATTATTATTAATAAGTTTGCATAACGTGAATATTTTTAAAATAAAAGAATTTAATTTTTGTAAACAAATAAATTTCGAATATTTTATTTTTTAATATTAAAACCGTTTAAATTTCTACGTGCTCGGAATCGTATGATAATAATAATAATTATAAAAAAATCGTTTTAAAACCGTTAATTAGTCAATGAAAAATTTCTTCTCGAACTTTCTATTAAAAAAAAAACATAACAAAAAGTTTTTTTTACTGATTCTGTATAAATTATTGAATATTTTTAAAAGTTTTAATTACTAATATTATACTTTAACTTATATACTTGATTTTGAAACATTTAATAATAAAAAGTTAAATAATCATATTAGTTTTCAAAGAAAATAATAATAATAATAATTTTTTTTTATTATTGATTTTAATAATATCTTGTGCAATTTAATATAATTACTTGAAATTTATTTGTTTTAACACACAATCCATATTAAATTTCAATTCATTTCCGTTTAAATTATTATTATTATTATTTTTAATTATCCAAATTGTATTATCATCATTATTATTAACATTTATCAAATTCATTTTATTATTTTAAATAACAATTATTAAATTAAATCTAATTTATTAATTTTTCTTTTATCGAGTTATTGACATTATTAATTTTTTATAGGATAAGTAAATACATAATAAAAAATTATTATGTGTTTAAAATGATAAATTATTAATAATTACATTAATTTTTATTAACGTTATTAACCGAAACAAACAATTAAAATAAATACAAACACGTTTTTATAAAAATATAATAATGATAATTAATAAAGAAAAAATAATAATAATTTGAGTGAGTTGCATGCAAAAAATAAATTTAAAAATTTAATTAAATGTATTAACTCATACTTAATAACAATAACAATAATAATAATAATTATTAAAACTCACCTTTAAACGTCTCTGCAGTCAAAAATTATTATATATATGATACTTTTTGAATTATTTAAAAAATTATTTTAAATAAATAAATTGCAATTCGTTTTATTAAATTAAAAAATTTACACGCATTTTATCGTAATGAAAAGTTTCGAGTATAAATTAATAATAAATAAATAAATTTAATTTTTTTTTTTTGCAGAAGATTGCACCCCGAAATTCTTTCCAGAACTAAAGGAAAAGAGATTTGTGTCCTGTTCTTATGAAGTTTTGTTATTCCACCTGTTGATACGTCACTACTCCTTCCTGACACTCCCTCTATCCTCCCTCCAGGAATATTTTCAAAAAAAAAAAAGAAAATATTCTGAAGCAAATTCACCTTCGATTGTTTTTGTTTTTTTTTTGTTTTTTTTTTTCTATTTTTTACCTTTTCCTTTTTTTCCTTCCTTGAATCAATTACAAATTTTTTAACGCCTATTAATAGTAAAAATAATCAATGAAAAATTATAAAGTCAATTATTACATTAACATTTCCGTCTGAGGTTTTCCGAATTAAAAAAAAAAAAATTGAAGAAGGTTGTGTCATTTGAAAAAATGGGTCAGTAGGAAGTAAAAATTATTACTTCCTTTTATAAAAGTAATTAATTTTTTTATTATTGTTTAAAAAAGTTTTAATACATTAACATTATAACTAACTGTCTTGATAATCTATTTAATAGTAGTTGTTGTAGTTACTAACAAAAATTAACTAATTTTTATTTAAAAAATTATAAATTTAATGTTGTGTTAAATGAATACTGGTAAATTGTTAAATTTTATTTAAAATTATTAATTTTTTTTTAAAAAGAATTTATTTCTTTAATAGGTTTTGATTAATCTATCAATTAAAATTTTTTTTTTAAATTTATGAAACGTGTTTATTGTTGTATTTACTGATGAAATTCAAATTAAAACCAAAAAAACCGTTACAAATCACTTAACTCAAAATGGCGCGTTTGTAAAATAGAGTTTTCACTAATGGTGGCATTTATATTTTTTGCGTACTTTCTTTATTCGTGCAGGAAGACCCTTGAAGAGTGAAATGGTTAACCTTTTTATTATTCTAGAATGTTTCGTAATCTTTTATTTTTGTAACCAATGTCAGTTATCAATACATTGTTTTTTTTGCATCTAATTACAAGCAGCAGAATTATCATTTAATACAGATTAGTTAAAATGTTTTTTTTTTCTTTTAAATTAATTTATCGTAAATCGTAATATACTTACTGAAGAAAAACATTTTAAATAAATTTTTAAACGAGTGAGTTAAAATAACGAAAAATAAATAAATAAATAACGATTTTAAAACATTACTTTTTATTTTAAACACATTTACATGTATTATTATTAACGGAAATTTCGAACGATTGAAAAAGAGAATTTTGTCGCAAAACTGCAAATTGCCAAGCCGCATGAGCGATTCGTACAGTTTTAAAGATGGTGTAAATTGGTTAGGAATTGTAATCATTAAATTGTGAGTCGTCTCACTTAGAGTAATTTATTTGTAAAATTATTTGTAAAAAACAAAAAAAAAGGAAAACTTAAAAGTATAAACAACAATTTAATTAAATTTCGGTACGTATAATAAACAAAATTATTCGTATTTTTAACGTTTTCATTCACCTTATAAAGTTGGTGTGCATCAGAAAATAATTAGTATATTTTTTTTTTTTGAATGATTTATTTTTGATTATTGACTTTTACATTTTGTGAAACTGTTATTATTTGATAGAAAAATTAATAATTCAAAATTTTAATTTCATTTTTTACATCAATTGTAAAATTTTAATTTAAAGTAAAAGCCCTTTTTATTTTACTTTGAAGCATTCTACGGTTTGTTCATAAACGAATTAAATGATGCGTATCAAATTTACTTTTTTAATCTAATCTAATAAAATATCTTTTAGATATAGATTATAATTGAATAGTTGATTATCTTTGTCATAGTGTTTAGTTTTTATTACATCTTTCATGTGGCTTTAATTGATATGCATGATCATAAGTCTTAACATTTAAAAGTAACTTCACTTAACAAAAAATTTTTTTTTTAATTAAAAAATAATTTATTCATGTACGACAGCTTATTAACATAATTATATAAAAATTTATCTATTAATCTTGTTTGATAAATCACATCAAATAAATTAACAAATATGTGTCCTTCTTTTTTTTAATATTAATACAAACATATTTTCTATTTCTTATAGGAAATTTTTAGAACCCAAGTTCAATGGGAGAAGCTAAAGCAACTAATCGACAATTTGCGTGAGTGCTCTTAAATTGCTACTTATTAACCTATTGCCTGTTTAATATTTTGGTTGATTTAAGCTAATTTTTTATTTATCAGATTATATGTTAAGGGTATTAGTTATTAATTATTATTTGAGTTATGTAATAGTATTTACTGATTCGGTCAAAGTTCAAATTTTAACTAATTTCAATTGTATAAAATATTTGAGTTAAAAAAATAATTTAAAATAGTATCATTTTAAAATTTCATGGTTTTGCAAGGTCTGTATTAGCTGACCTAATCTGGGTTTCAATGTCATTAGTTTGTCATTGTTTTGTGTAATTTAAAGCATTTCACAAACATTTCAGCAGTTGCCAACAATTTGAACTCTTTGTGCCAATTTAAATTTTAAAAAAAAAAAAAATTATTTTTTTAGCAGTAATAATGTTTAACCCGAAAAATTAATCATTTCGCGACAATTTATAACTTGTGGTGTGGTGGCAGAAAAGACACAAACAAACTTTCATTTTTTAATTCTCATCTTTTACTCTTTTTTTAAAATTAACTTTCGCTTTTTAAAATCAGCGATGAAAATATTAAGAAGTAAATAAATAAATAAATAAATAAATAAATAAATCACCTTATTTTTTTTATAAGGTGTTTTATTTTTTTCTTGATAAATTTGCACTTTAGTCTCTCAGTAGTCAATTTTTTTGTTTTCCTTTTGTTTTAATCAGGGAAAAATTTTATTCCCATATTTCCGCATGAAAGGGGTAAATATCACGTGACGTGAAACCATCCACAAAATGTATTCCCGTTCGGTGAACCAGGAAATCCAACAAATAGTT